CTAGGAAACTAAAAGCATATTCATATTGTGTGCTTGTACACACCCAGAGTGAAGGTTGCTTTACATCAAAGGAGCCACTAGTGAATGTTAAAAACTGGATGTGGACAAGGGAAGTAATGACTTTTGCTTGTTTCAGTTATAGAGATAGGGCTTGAAGTGAGCTCGAATGGGCCACTTCCCCAATGATCTCATCAGTTTATGCAGAACATAAGATTCTATTAGTTTAAAAAAATAAAATTCAGTTTCTAGTCCTGTCGCTGTGAGGGGGAGACCTTTTGAATGTAAACCAATGCAGAGTTCTCTTCCTGATTCCAGAGCCTGCCAGCCTCAAACAATAGTTCCACAGAAGACTTGAAATGTGCCCTTTCATTGGTCCTGGGATGTTACCTCTGAAGTTTAATGATAACAGTCAAAATTCAACAATGTTAACTCTGTCCTTGCTGATATCATTTCAGTACTATCTAGGTTCTGATATGGTACTTATTGCCACAATATCTGAATAGAGTTTATGCTGATGTATCTAGCATGAACATCCAACTAATGTACTGAATAGGTTTGTGCTTTTGCAAAATCATAGACTGATAGACATTACAGATGTAGGAAACTCTGAGGCCATCTCATCCCCTGCCCGTGCAAGGCCACATTATTCTCCAGAATTTTGGCCAGTCCAGCATTAAATGGTTGCATTCACAGGGCTTCCAAGACTCACCTTAGGAGATTTTTCCTCAGCCTGATACATCTCCTTGTTACTGCATGTTTCGTGAATATTCAAACCTATTTTCTTCCTTTTCTGTATGTTATCCCATTCCCCCTAGTTATACTCCAGGACCACCAGGGCAGGGGCAATGGCACAGCAGCGGAGGACGGATGCGGGGGCGGGGGGAAGAAAGAATGCGGATTAGCCCCTAGTCTCAGGAGAAGGAGCAAAGGGAGGTAGCTACTAAGGGAGAACTCAGGAAAGGGGTCAAGGGTTTTACAAAAGCCAGGAGCTCTTTAGGCTCCGGAACGAAAGAGCTGGTGCAAGGAAGACTGAGGACAAACTAAACTGTCCTGTAGGGGCGACAGTAAGTCTAAGGAGGATTGGGCTGGACTATAGGGAAGCCTGGGAAGCCTCCTGGGCTGCTACCGGCCGGAAGCATTCAGCAAACAGGCCTAGAGCGTAGACCATGCGGGCCAATGATGAACCCCAGCTCGTGTTGTCGCCTGGCCAGGCGCTACATGCTATGGCCTGCTGCATTCCTGGGACTGATTATCTCGGCTGAGGACGCTCCGCACCCTGTCCTTACAGCCCAGTTACTGACTTGCACTGCCGCCAGGGTTTCTTCCATCCTTCCCCTTTCCTCTTCCTTCCCTCTCTTCTTCTGTATGTAGACCTCCCCTCCCCCACCTCACCACCACAAACACTTGTTTGTGGTCAAATAAAGAGTTGACGCCAGCTGACATTTCGTATCTAAGCATCACCCCTCGGCCCTTCCCCTCCAGTTTCTGCATCCTTTTGACTTGTGACACAGACGCCGATGCAGAACCCCTGGGCCCTTTGATTCCAAAGCCTTGAAGTCGCAGGAAGAAGAAAGAAGTTCGCCTAGAGAGCTCCTCCTTACTCTCCACTGTGCCTGTTTAACGCTAACAAAACTGGGCTGCTGTGTTTGCGAGACAGAAGTTATCCCTCTGTAAAGTGGGGAGGAGGGGGGAGTCTTCTGGATCTATGGAAGACCTTTACCTTAAGTGAAAGAAAAAATAAGTTATATATTGTGGGGAATCTGTTGGTGAAGTAGCCCCTGCTGGCTTAACATGCCAGGCGAATTTCTGCAAAGCCAACACAAGAGAATTTGTCTGAGATGCTGAAACCTACCAGTGATTTGGTTCCTCTGCATAAGAAGATGGTTAGCTCTATGCTGATACTGTCTCCTATGGAGATGCGTGTATGTGTGTGTGTTACTTGCATTTCTTTTACATTGTGTCACAACTGTCTTTAAGTCTGCTCCTTGGGGTTCCTTCTTCCCGTACTTTTTTTCCCTTTCCAGGATCATATTCAAATGTATCCCACTTTTAATTGAAGCGGTCCCTCCCGCCCCCGGCCCCCACCCCCGAGTAAGAAATGGTTTTGCTGAGTATTTCTCCCTTTCTGAAAGGTCTCAACAATCTTCTGGAAACTAGACACACATTGTATGCAGTGAGAAAGTTGTCAGAGGTTAGACCAGAGGGAGAAAAAAAAAAATCAAGCTGATCTGGGAGACTGCGGGGCATCCAGTTCCCTGTGTATCAGGGAAACACCTACCCTTTCCCCCACCATTTAAAGGAGTTAAAAACCCATTTGAGAAAAAAAATCGTTCCTCACTCCAGGCTTAAAACAATGGTGAGATTAGACACACATCATCCCGGTCCGTAGCTTTAGGAAAATATTGGCCCCCTTTTCACCTCTCAGACTGTCAGAAAAGCCTTTGCACGGTTTTGTTCCAGCAAACCCACAAATAATGGATAGTTCCTTTCATAAATTGCCAGTAACACCCCATTCTTCCCAGGTTCTCAGAGCTCACAGTAGTGGCTGCATATGCGAGGACATCACCAGTTACAGACATCATCAGTACAGAACACTCTGTTATTTATTTAGTCTCTGAAAAAAGAGACCCTGGGTTATTTTCTTAACATAATTAAAATGCATCACTTAAGTTCCTATTTGCTCCAAAAAAGCGTGGGAGCGTAAATGTTTTGGCTCTCAGCTGACAGTAAATATATCTTCATATCATGTTTTTATTTTATCATTTTTAATGCACACCCCTCCCCCACACACACACACACTCCTAGTCGCTGAAGTGTTTGAAAGAGGCTTGGAGTCTACAGTATCTCGCTCTTTTTGCTCCAGAAGATCAAATGTATTACTTTTCCTTTTTGCGTGTCTGATGACGGGATAAAAATGTTGTTTCAGTCGAGATTTAGGGGCTGCCTCTAGGATGACACGATGTGAAAGTGAAGTCCGGGCTTCATCAAACTAGAGCAGTGAGTGCAACAACAAAAAAAGACTAGATGTTGGTAATTTACAAAAGAGCACTTTGGTTACTTTTACACATTTCCCGTGTAGGAAAAAAAATAATTCCACCATCAGCGAAAGAAGCCTGTGTCTGAAATAGCTCTGGTTAGGAAAGCTTCGAAATCCTACATGTTTCATTTTGACAAAACCATGCTGTCGATGATTTGGGGGTGGTTTAATACTCATTTAGGCCGAGCAGTTTGTTGTCGTTAGAGTATAGCATCAATTGCAGGAGTTTTTCCTGCTTTGCTGAAAATGTAAATGGGCGTTAGGGTGGTACTGTTTCGTTTTCTCATTTCTCTGGAGATATTATTGCTTTGAGCTAAGAGCTATTGGAGCTCTACTCCAAATAACCTCGTTTACCAGAAGGATAAATTAAAAGCCTTTGCTTTTGAGCATGCCTCTTTTAAATGTTATATGATCTATTTCAATAGGAAACTTATTTAATAACGTTATTGTCTGCAATGCGCCAAGTCAAATGACACATCTCTCTTTCCTGGTAAAGAGACATGTTAGAAAAGAGAAACCTATTACAAAAACGGCTACAGTTTACAAATAGTAAACATAGTTCATTAGATCGTCCCTAAATATTCTGTACTTTGTGTATCATCTGCCTTCCTTTTGCTCCCCTCTAGAATATTACATCCTTACAATTTATTATCCAGCTACAAACGTTGTAAATTTAAATATCTGGGAAATGATTCATCAGCGTTATCTGAAACATTCCCTTCCCTGCATCGTTCACTGTCTCTTGTAATTAAACAATGTGGTGGGTACTGGAAACAGAATCAGTTTCTTGTGTACTAAAAAGGGAGGCGAAATCAAAAAAGGAGGGAATCAAAAAAGAAGGGAATTATCTCAAGAAAATGATAGCAAAATATACAAATCTATTTTACAAATATACAATATACAAATCATTATTTGCAGATTGTACCTTAAACCAGGTTCGATATTGATTTCAACAGGGATAACTGTGCATCTTCTTGTGGTATTTCTTTGTATATCCTATACATTGGCTAACTCTGTATATTACCTATAGTGAACTAATTCTGGTTTTCCTTGGAAACAGAGCTCTCACTTATCTCGCTATCCTTCTTAGCTTTCTTCGATAAGACATTTTATTGTTTATTGTTTTTCTTTAGTTTTATTCTTTAGCTGTCACAGGTGCGTAATAGCTAATATTTTTAAATACAACTGTTAGAAATCTAACAGACCATTTATTTTAATAACAATGGGCCATTTATTGTCGTAAGTACTGAAACAAAATTCCCCGTTGAACAGCAGCACCTCGTTCCATGCTGGGGTCAGCACTGATAGGATGGTATGACACAATAATACTTGTTTAATTTGTGTTAAGATCACTTATTGCAAGACATTGCTCTATCCCTAATTCCATCCACATTCATTTTCCCCATACTGGCTGCCGTCCCGGGTAATTATTTCTAGGGAACGTTATTTCTTTCCTTTAAATATAGGAGATGTGAATAGGTAGCAAACGAAACTGTAGACATAGTCACATCAAGTCTGGTTGAAGTACAGATCTCAGCACACCTCAGACTTCCAGTAAAGTGAAGGGACCTCGCCCGCTCGGTCTCCACTGAGCTCTCTCGAATATGTTTTTAGACCAAAACTGGGGTTGACTGCCCGGGGTCAGAGAAGAAGATATACGGATCTGGGTGCAGATTCAAAACGAATTCATTATAATAGATCACTTCCTCCCCTATCCCAACACACACGGACACACACTCACACTTCCCAAGAACACAGTGATAGAAGTGAATTTTAACCTGTTGTTGGTAACTGATATAAAGACGGCATCGTTTATAGAACTCTCAGTGCCAGGGTGTGCGCAGTTACTGGGAGATTGGCAAGGAAAGTGCTTTTGCAAAGCAACGTTTAGCTCAGACTATTCCACAATATTTTATTCGAGACTCGAAGTGATGTTTTCTGACGGACGAAGGAGCTAGTTTAGTCGATTGTAAAGTGTTTATTGAAATCATAGCAGTACCGCTCAGGGTCACACGCAATCCGAGAAGTTACAACATTTACATCTCCCCTAAACCTCCAGAGCTGCCTGGGCTGCAGCTAAATTGAGACTTGTACCAAGTTACCAGAGGAATCAGATATTATTTGAAACCTCCCCCCGCCCCCCCGCGTTCTGTGGCAGCCTTTCCTCTCTACGATATCAAGGCAATTAACAAATAACCGGTTTTAACCCCGGACAGCTGCCTGCCTGGGAGATTTTAGGATTATTTTCCCCCTTTTTGTCCTTTGAATCATTTCGGGTCCAGATTTCAAGGCAGAATCTCAGGCTGGTCCAGTGGCCTCTTTGCCTTTATCTTCCAGACACTAGCAGGTTTGACAAAAGCAGACTCCCCTCCTCCCGAGAAGATGATGGGTTCGTGTTTACACTCTAGACAGCCACTAACTCCACGGATCTCTCCCTCCCAACCCCCATCTCTCTTCCCCTCCCCCCATTTTTTGTGTTGTTCAAGCAGGGGGGAAAAAGGCATTTGGTACCAGCACACTGTCCTATTCTCCCTTTGCACCGTGACCACGCAGCTCTCAATTCATCACGTGTCCTTCTCCCGGACAGTTCCCCCACTTTGGCTGTCAGACGCGCCTCTTCATGTCACCTTCTTCTTCCAAAGATACCTACTGGGGTAGAGAACACAGCCCAGAAACAGCCACACACAATAACGCACTCTACACTGCTCCGTCTGCCTCACGCCTGTGGCGAGCTCTCTTCAGCCCCCTAACCCCCCTGGCATTTTCCTGTAGCCAAAGAAAGATGATCCGGGAACCACTCCGAAGGGGTAAAGTACCCATCTCCTGAGGCCCAGATGCTAAGCAGGTCTCCCATGGCCTCACTACTTAGTACATTTTAGGGACAAATCGCCTTCTCCCGTCACCCCAAACATGAAAATAAGGATCCAGACACTGAATCTGAATTAGGGGCTCTCATCAGTGACTACCAGTCCTGGCGTTGCGGAGGAACTAAAAAAGCAGGAGTATGGAGCAGTACTTGAAAAAGACCAGAACAAAATATACTCAGATGAATGGATTTCAAGATTCCCTGCTACAGCTAGTATTCAAAAGGAGTTGTCATCATCATTATTATTCGCAGCACAAGTTTAGCTAGATGAGGAAATCTGTTTAATCGGGTTATTAATCATTTAAAGCCCAGTAAATAAACTACAATCTAAAAAGTATCATTGATGATTCACACCGTTGGTAGATTTTAATTACAAGCTAAAGTAATATGTGCATGTCAAGTCTGGCATTTAAAAAAATAAACAGGACTTGTAGGCCAAAACCCCTGTGAATTACAGTGTTTAATAACTAACTGGGGTCATCCCTGTGTCTATATGTTAAAAATCATCGTGTTTCCGGTAGTAAATAAAACGAATGTATGTTCTTAACATGTTCCCGTTTCAACTGCATGTCGATTTCAACATTCCCTTAACGACTATCGTACAGATGTGTGTAAAAGAAATGGAATATCTCCCTTTTCTCTACAACTGTAATGTGATACACCTTCCTGCATTTTAGGGTACAGCATTTGAGACAGATCTACAATTGCAACCCTCGTTGCAGACAAGAGACGAGATCTGTGCGGAATATACATTTAAGGATGTAATTCTTTCTCAGACAAATAATCGTCTCCCTTTCAAATATAATTAATGTTTTGATAGTGCATTTCTTCTGAGAAGTAGATCCACAAACACACACAACCTCGTAACGTGTGTGTTTGTATATTTGAAACAGGATTATATAGAGAGCCTGTATTGTGAATGATACAGACATACTGCTTTTTAAAGGGTTACATAAAAACAACCTTATTTATTACCTAAACTATTGGACGAACGGTGTAGGTGCGTATTATACAAAGTAAACGTTTTAAAAACATTTTTTTTGTTAAAAATGAAAATGTTTAGAAAACATAAGAAGCCATTGTTTGTTTTCGGTTCTTTGTCAGGATCAATTCAGGGCTAGCAGAATGTAGCAGAATGTTACGTTTGTCTGTGCTAGGCGTGATATTCTGTGAAGAATGTTTCTTCCTTTTCTCGTCAGGAATTCATCTCTGAACCGTAGCTCCCATTGACCCCAATGGGTGCGGAGGAAACAGAGGAGAAGACCCTTCGATGGTAAAACTACATAGAGATTGGATTTCCTGTGTGATCGTATGGTGCATTAGTCATAAATGTTTGGAAAACGGGTCGAACCTGATGCCACTGAAATCTATGGGCGTTTTGACGGTGATTTCTATGGCACCTACCCAATATAAATTTTATTGCGTTTAGGACAAGAAGGCATTTATATACTTTCCTTAATACCTACAACATCCCTGAGTTCGGTACAAAATACCCTGTTGAAAAAAATCTAGAGTTTTAACTCGAACTATAGAAATACCAGGCTGGAATCAACATGTGAAAAATACTGTCATCACGCCATCTGCATGCCCATACAAAATGATAAAAGGGCCAGATCCTGCTCCCATTGATGTCACAGGCAAAATGTCCATGATATCAGTGGACAGAGGATCAGGCCCCACATCTGTACTTATATTCATGCAAAATATATAGAGAGATAAAGATAGGTATATAGTTGATATGTATTAACCTAATTATTCAAAAACTATTAAATAGAGACTGTAACCTGGGAATTTTAAAACTAGTTCGATTTTCCATTTGGGTTGCTTTCAAGGATTCGCTTTTATATATTCCTCTGAGTGGGCCTGCACTTAGTATTTTCAAACCAAATCCTGACTTCAGTGGAATTTCCAGGATCTGGCCCATATGGGCCCACTTTGAAAGCTTTAGCTGCCGTAAAAAATAAGCTTATGATGATGGTGAGGCTGATTAATAATAAAGGTAAAAGTCCATTTGATTTTAATTAGAGTTTTTTGTCTGAGTAAATAAAATAATTCTGTCTGAAAAGCAGAGTAGAACTCTGAGCATCCCAAACATATACAAACCTTTCAGTCACTCCTGAGAATATCGGATGTTCTGAGTTGTCTGGAGATTGTTATTTATATTTAATGGTTATTATAATTATTATTACAATTATTATTAATAATAATAATAATAATAAATAAATAACACCTGCAATATTTTCCCCACAGATTTTAATCTCTATCTCTTTCCACAACATTTTACTGACAGCTGTCTTCCTGGGAGCTGATGACTTGGATATTGAGTATTCACAAAGTGTCTATAGTTGAACATTATAGTATCTCCATCTTACTTAAACTCAATACCTGTACCTGCCTTTGCTAGAAAACCTGCCCGAAATGAAAACATCTGGCAAATGTTAATAGCTATAATCTTAGTTCAATATAGTGTTACCCACCTCTGTTATTCAGATCCAGTTAACTCCATGTTTACCTCCAATGATCTATGAACAAACAAAAAAGTGGGAAAATATTTACCACATCGATCAGATAATCTCTAGTAAGATGTCAAAAATAAACTTGTTAACTTGTTCCTGAAGACAAAACCGAACCAAGAACCTTGATACCTTTATGGTTTGCAAATGGTCTTTTTGTTCAGCAAGGACTAACATTAAAGAAGATCACACTTGCTTTCAGAAAATATTGTTATTTTTCTTTAATGGGGAAAATTGGACTCCTGCGACTTAGATCTGTGGTTTTTAGGACTGGGATGGAAATTGGACTGACACCACTTTGCACTTTAACAATCAGATTTCGTCAGGGTACAAGTTGTTTGTTTAACCCGACAGCTCCGTGCACCCCGTCGCACGCTTTACACACTCATTAAAACGATTATTCACGACCTGTCGAGTGTTTTCTAGTTCATTCACAGGAAAGACTTAACGCTATAAGATTCAAGAATATACCTTCAACTATACCAGAGAAAGAGACCGGGGGGAGATTATCTATGTGATCATCTGATGCGCTGGCATTTTACATCTACAAGTTGCAAGAAAGCAGTTGTTCAAAGTCAAAAATCACTAATATTTTTAGATTGCGATTTGACAGCTAGGCAGGATCATAAACAAAGGATCCCACATTGGTTTCATTTCCCAACCTTTAGAATAGTATATTATAATGCTTATCTTAAACACTCTTCTGACAAACAGGAAAATTACCTACAGATGTTAATGACAGTTTTGGATTAGATACGGTGAAACACAGCTTGGGAAACGTATGAATTCACCGTCTACGCAAAATAAATAATTCCTTCTTGTCATAGAGTCAGATTCCAGGGCCAGAAGGGACCACTGTGGTAATCTAGTCTGACCTTCTGTATAACACAGGCCATAGAACCTCCCCCCCCCCCGCCCGAAAAATGCCTCTGTGTGTGTATAAGTCCAATCTTGATTTAAAAATGGCCAGTGATGGAGAATCCACCATGACCCTTGATAAATTGTTCCAATAGTTAATTATCTTCACCGTTAAAATGTTTTGGCTCTTATTGTCGAATACGATGATCTGATGACTACAACAGGAATAATTCCTCCTCAGTGACTAGGTTTTTATACTGCTTCTTTACAGCTTTTCCTAAACGATAGAGTGGAATGGGTATTTGTGAGCGGAATAATATTGCCATTTGTAATATTATCGTTCTGAATTATAGAAAAGTATAGCAAACATGGCTGAAACGTCACGGTATCTCCCGAAACAGCCGCAAAAGAAGGTGCTACTGTGTCTTAATGTTCATTTAAAATGTAGATTTAAAAAAAAATCCATTTCAATCCATGATGCTCCAATTATAGAAAGAGTTCACAGGAATAGCCGCAACATCTTTTAAATATATTAAAACATGAAGACACAAAACTATCTAAAGCATCTTGTTGCTATTATCCACTACTGTGATATCTTAATGCAGATTTTTTTTTTAAAATCAGCCGACGTCTGATTTATATATTCATATAACCCTAGATTCTGAAATTCTATCTGTTACAAAACTCCAGAGGCTACTCTATTGCTAGGAACATATTTAGATTTACAAAGGAAGGGAGAGAGTGGGGAAGTAAAGCCAAAGTATAATTCCCGTGTAATATCTTCAGTTCCACCAAACCATTTATTTAAAAGGGTTATTTTTTTTAATAAAGAAGTATCTAAACATAATTTATCCTTATTTCAAAGCAAAAGACCTGAATGCAACAAGAGGTTTTATTCTGAAACGGTTTCCTAGTTGCTCCAAAAACAAGCATGTATAAGTAATTTGTTAAATTTATCGGATTGCAATAATCCACTATCAAGTTTGCTAAAAATGGATCTGTCAAGTGTGTTTCCCTTGAAAGCTCTTTCTTTCAAACCAACCTGGTATAATAATCAGGAGACAAAGAAACCGAAATATGTAAGTAAATACCTAAACCTCTGGATAAATAAACACACTAATCAATAGGAAGCAAGCCAACATTTGTCTTATTGATGAAGAGACAATCGATTTTGCTGTTCCAACTTGCGATCTGCACTATCCATATTTAATTATTAGTAATTTTAACTCCACTGATTTAATAATCAAAAATAGTGTTAATATCTCCTACCCTTCCACCTGGTCATAAATTATATTAATGATCTGACAGAAAAGGTGGCTTTCGGATTTTTCCTTGAGTAGACAACTTTATCCAAATTGAATAAGCAGCTATGGAAATAATAACATGATTACTTAATGCCGATTTAAGAATTTTCATGCTGAAAATGTACCCCAATCTTTACAATAAGAATATCTTCCAAAAGCAGTGGAATGTATTTCTTTTAAAAGATCATTGACACTTTAGCTCAATGCAATTTTGATACGGTTCACGTGTGTTCCTCATGAATTCATAACCTTTGATAACAAAAATACAATTTACATTTCATGTCATGAGATTCTCCCTTCAAAACGCACACACAGTGGAGGTGCATTCAGAAGAATAAAATTAGGTTTTCTAACCATTATAGCATTTGCAAATCAGCTACAAACCATAGCATGAACAAATATTAATTATTATCTGATACATTTAATCAGATCTGTATTTATTCCCTTGAACAGATTCCTCTAATAATCTGTCAGCATATAATTGTTTCAGCTTTTGTTTAGTTAAGATATTCAGTTAAAGATTCTCCTTGGTGGAACTGACACGCCTGTTTGGAAGTGTGTGTGTGTGTGTGTGTGTGTGTGCGCGCGCGCCTAGGGAGAAAAGGGAGGGTAATGCCATCTTTGCTATAACATTACTGAGATTTTTACCTGAAAAGGGCAGTCGGGGTGTATATTACTCGTATTAAATTCTCAAAAATATTGTAGCCATTTGGAAAACGCGAATTTTAACAGCAGGGTTTAACTATTTACATGCGGTTACATTTTTTTAAAAAAAGGTTTGAGCCCTTCGTCGAATACACTGAAGAATTATGTGACTTTTTTTTTATGTGCAGATCCTAACAAGATTTTTGGCCAAGGGAAATCTTATCTGCCATTGTATATGACGGATGTAATAGATAATTTAACTTTAAATACCATCTATCAAATCATTTCTGGGTGGACGTCCTGGCCCCATTGAAGTCAGCGGGGAATTTAGCCAAGGTCTCACCTATAGAATTGAACTTTTTCGACTGATTCAGCTTAATCCCGAGAAAAACCGTCTGAGCTCCACAAACTCCTGCTCCACAAGAATTCGGCAGATCCGAAGGAAAAGAACGTCTCTTTTCACAGGCTCATGTTACCGTGCAAAGGATATCTACTGAATGCAGTGCAACAGAAAATAAAACCAACAGCCCGTCGGGTCCCTGCCTTCTTTGCAGTTCCAAACCCCTATTGACCTGAATGAGTCAGGTTCGCTTGAATGAGGAATGCACTTAATATCAGTCTTAACATTAAGCAGCAATTTGCAGTTAACTTTATTGGAGTTATTTACTAATATTTTTAGTGCAGGGTGACAAATGTAAGATTTTTTTCAGCCTCATGTGTGACTGTATAGCCTAAGTTAATAGATCTTTCCGGTAGAATTAAGAACAGCTCGACATAAACAGAAGGAATCCTATTTTAAGTATTGTAATGTGTCCTGGCACTCATCACAGAATTTATTATTAATTATTATTATTATTATTATTATTATTATTATTATTTAAAAACGTTTAATAGTACATCTTTACCTTGCTGATTAATAATAGAAAAAATGCTTCCTATTTTATTTGATAGCCTTGGCGAGGTAATTATATGTATACACCATTAAGAAGTTTTTGATAATCCTTTCGTTAAATTAAAACACTGATATCTGTAACATTTCTCCAGTGTTTTATTGAGGTGACTTGCTCATATGCATTGGTATTATACTGTGTTATGTTAAATGGCATTGTAAAAGGGGCAAGAAGGCAGTTGCTTGGTTTTTATGCTTTAATACATTGTTCCCATATTGTTGTCAGCTCACAACAAGAAAGATACAACACGACCAGTCCCCAGCTGCGGTCAGCGAACGGTATGTATCGTTAAAGCAAATGTAAACTTTGCCTGAGAAGCAGATCAGCCGAATTACCGTAAGAGTCTTTGCCAAACTGGTGAGGAACAGGAAAGGGAAAGGGGCAAAATCCTTTTAAAAATGTCTACCACAGGGAAAACACAGTTTTATCAACTGGCAGATAAAGTGCTGAGATCTGAAACAGGCACTGTGTAAACACTAAGGATCGACTTTTTTTTTTAATGGCTTTGCTCTACAGTCATTTTCTCTGGCACCTGAAAATCGAACCTGTATGTGTGACAAGCAAGGAACTCCAGCTCTCCTGTTTGACAAGAGCGCCCTCACCTTGCTGCTTTGAGAGCAGCTCCCAGGCACAGCAGACTCCTCGCTGCTTACATTGTATCTGAGGACTGCAGGCGTAGCATATCCATAGCGAAATCTATATCTATACATCTCGATCTAACCATCTGCGTCTCTCTAACAGCAGCTTTGCACTGGATGTACGACAGAGATCACTATAGTGACCGATTAGTCTTATCGCTATAAGCATAAATATATAAACCTATAGATTTCTAAATCCATTCATTTTAAACGAAATCAACAAACGTCTTATTTATACCTTACGGAACCAATTTAATCTATAGGCAGGTTTCTGCCAAACTGTCAACAATTTGTCAACTCTCTTTAAAGCTAATTCATTCTTTGTATATACATTTCCACGGAAAACGAACTGTACACGGCTTCCATTTCCTGCAATGTGAATGGGGAGATCCACCCCTCAATACTTCATTACCATTTGCTCTGATTACCTTCAGCAGGCGTCTTATCTCACTGCGTTTTGGTAACTTAAATTGGTGTATTAAAATTAATTATTTCCATGAGATTACAAATTGAGGAACAAGGGAATTAAAATCATTAACAGAGTCGGGCACGATGCATTGTTCTCTTCCCCCGCCCCAGCCGTTTCGAAGGCATAAAACCCAGAACTTCAGTCAGTCTAGAAACAGCCCCCCCCCCCCGAAGATATGATCAAGTTTGTCAAATCAATAGATCGAGCAGGACAATACTGCATCACCCTCTCGTTTTACAAAGTATAGCACCTACGTCACATTAAAATCTCAATATCTCTGGCACGCAGGGGCACAGCATTTTGGAGGGTGGGAGGACGAGCAGAAATGCCTTGATCTATTATAAAATAAAATAAAACAACCCCCCCCTCAAACTCTAGAGTGGAGCTTGAAATTGTCAAGTGATTCATTCTCCATTTCTGTGGGCAAGCGTTTGCCTGCTGATATATCCAGAGCAAAGGCGATGCTCGTTTTATATACATTATTTTAAAAGTCTCCATCTTTGTTCTCATATAATTTTTGGCAAGAGTAGCTTCCTGTGCGTTTAAGAAACTTAACAATATTTATACCCGAAAGGCATAAACCCCACCGAAAAACCCATTCCCATTTGTAAAACCCAAAAGTTAAATGTTGGGGGGGGGGTCATTATTTTTTAGAAACACAGTCCACCCCCACCTCCCCTCCAACACACACACACCGAAACGGCATCGATTTAAGACTTCGATTAAAGAGCAGCTTTAATTCTGGAAGAGGAAAGCACGTATTAAATTGTTCACGCTAAAGCATACTTCTACTTTACAGTGAGATCGAAAAGATAAGGTCTACGTGTAAATATTGCTGATATCAGTGAGTACAGCCGTTTTACGAGTGCAGAGGAATAAAATGTACACTCACCAAATCTGCTCGAGAAAGTATCGCCACCACTTTGGCATCCTCTTTTTCTTTCAGGTACAGGTAGTTCTGCACAGCGTCTTAAAAAGCCAAACAAAACATTGCACGTGCCACTTCCTTGGCTTTAGTCCTCTTAACTAGAAAAAGAAATAATGTTAAAAATAAACGCAAAGATTTACTGGCAGAATTTATAAAATAATGAAGATATGTGCAGCTTACCTGATTAAATTAAAGAGCTGGGGGGAGGGAGGGGAAAATCCTAACTTTGGGCACAAACAGTTCAGATGTAACTGGTGTTTTTAAACTATGCTTCAGTCGTGCAGACGAGCTGGTTATTATTTGGGTAGTGGAAAACAGTATGTGTAGACAGAAGTCTGTCATATATTTTAATTCGCATCACAGGTATCTGCCTGTAGGGAGAAGGAGTGAAGGGTTTCTTTAACTTCACCTACCCTGCTGGCGGGAAGGCTTGCTGAGATTGCTGGGCAGGTTTTCGTTCTGGAGGGTCCCATCTGTCTGGAATAAACTGCAGTGGAGTTGAGGGCAGGTTCTCCGGTGAGGTAGGAATATGCAGGAACTCCGCCCTCTGGGCACAGCCACACAAACCCAGCAGAACAGCCACAGCCAGCCCTAAAACCTCTAATGATCTTCACCTTCACCTTTTGCTAACCCAGTTCTCCACCACTTTTTCACCCGTTTACCCTGGCACCTTCACCACAGGAAAACATTCTTCAAAACAAGAGCATTGGACATACAAATCTGTCCAGACGCTACTGTGAAAAATTATATAGATAATAAATTATCTATCTATCTATCTATCTATCTATGTGTGTGTATATATATTAAATATGCTATAAGTATATATAGAATATCTATATATATAGTGTATGTAAGAGGAAACAGAGAATATATAAGGGTTTATCTTCGTTTCTATATGGTTAATTCTATGTTCCTATATGAATATAGATTTAAATATATACACCTATAGATTCTTCTGTCCTTAGGAAAATATTATGACCAATAAAATAATACAAACACTAAAAATAACAATAAGTCTTATTCAACACTGACTCTACCAAGACAAAACTCTCATTGAGTTCAGCGGTGGAGTAACTGGAATTCAATGTAATTTGCCTGAGGAAGGGGTGAGTAAGTGCTGCCTGGGTCTAATCGCATAACGGGTGGCGAGGAGGTGAAGAAAATCCCCTTTGAATACTTTCGGACATAAATCTTAATCATCATGCAAAAGAGGTCACAATGAGCACAATACACTCCTACCAAAACTTGTACAGGGGTCAAACATTTTTTAAAGGTATCATCCAAATAATCGTCGAATTTAGAGTAGATTATATCATCCTTTATTATAATTTAAATTATTTTGGCTCATATTTGTTCTACATAACACTTAGGATTTGAATGAAGCCAGTTTATGGTATATAAAATATGTTGGAGAAATATAAAATATTTTAAAGAAAATATAGAAATTAAACGAGGAGGCTTGCTTAATGTCTCATTATAAATCTGGGCAGTATATTCTACTCATATCAGAGCTCATTACCACTCAATCATTTTTCCCCCAGGGCAATTTTTAAAAATATACTTGGAAGTTTCTTTAATATGAACTATACCGACAAGTGCAATAATCCCAAACACAAACCAGAAAAATAGCAATAACTTCTTAATTCTAAAAAAACCCATAAACAATATAAATAAGGAAACGCCAACAAAGGCCCCTAGTAAGGCTTGACACGTGATAAATAATTAAAAAAAATCAGTAAAAGTTCTTAAAAGTTCGACGTCAGACGTTTACATGTCAAAAGTTTATGGAAACAATATCAGATCACGTCATTATTTGCTTGAAGGATAAAAAAAGTGCCTTAAATTCCATACCAAACTGTCATATGTATGTGTGAAAAGGTATCTTGAATGAACAAAAGGTTTAACTTTTAGGGTGGGAAGGAGGTAAATCCAAGACAAATTTGGGGCCTTAATAGGCCTGTTACAATATAGTACTACTTTAGCACTTTTCCTTCCAAAGACATTTTCATCCCAGGTAATATTTATATGGTAACTTGAGTAAACTACCAAATCAAACATATTCCTCTCCCCCGCTTCAACGGGAAGAGAAAAAGTCAATAAGACCTGAATCGCTTAGGCAGCAGTTTATCACTGAACCTTAAGTAAAGCATTAAGAGTGAGTGCTTGTTTAAATCTTGTCTTTTGGAAGCATATTTAAAAATACAATTGTAACACCTTTTCTCAGAATTATTATCTATTACGTTTAATTAATTAATTCTTATTAACTCACGAAAAACATTGACATGACGAGATTATGCTTTCAATTGATCTGGCTTTTATTTTCAATCCTCAATATATTATCGGCGGGTATTTTTCGGGGGGGGGATTGTAAATGGAATAACATCTTAAATACGTGCTATTGAATTTCCCACAATATGCAACCAATTGCAAGTGTTAAATAATAAATCATGTCCTTTGTCAGCTGCAGCAGATGCCATTCTTTTAATTTGCTTAGGTAAAAATATACCTAACGGAGACTCCACTTTAACAGTTTAAACTCACACAGATTTTTTTCTGATCAAGTGCAGTTTCAGATTTGATTGTTTCGAGGTCTTTTTTATTTTTACTTGTTGCGATCAATTATTCTTTGATGTATGAATTTAAATTGCAACAGAGTGAAGAATTTGGGGGAGGGGTTCAAAGAGGTATCATCCCTTTATACTAAAACAAAGCAACCTTTTTCTTATTGTTATGATTCATCTGAATTGCTGAATTTAGAATGGAAGCCAAGAATATCAGCGATTTCTCTCCCTCTCCCCCCATATGTGCAAAGCTTGGTGTCCCATCTCCTCCTTAACCTTTCACTCCTCTCTCTTCCCTACAGATTTGCTTGCATCTGTTTGTTTAATTCTTATTTTCAGAAGATCTTTTTTTCTCTGTCCGAGTGTCGTCAATATTCTGGTTTCAAGAATTTAGGTTTGCTGTTACTCCTTTCCCCTCTACCCCCTAGTCTTTTAAGATCAACTCTTTAAAGTGTTTGCCGATAACATCTCCGGGATAGAGATTATTTTTCATTGGGCCTATTGTGAGAAGTAGCCGGCTTATTGCATTACTGCAGAACACATTTCAGACTATACAATTGTAACAAATGAACAACTTGTCTTCCACGGACTCACTGCGGGATCCAATTAGTTCGTAAACCTTTTTGCACAAGTTTTCTAATTATTTTCAAGAGTTGCGGCTTTCATAGGATTTCTTAAACTCATCAAGAAACTGATTCTTTTTAGGATCAAGTACTGCATAAGAAAGTAGTAACATTGCCCCCTTAAAGCAAAAGGATCGATTCCCCATCAAATGAAAGATACTTACGTACGTACGATTTTATATGCTAGTGGGCGTTCAGTGAATATTTATCGCTGGAGGACAGAATGTGTAAAAGATTCATTTTATTGCTTCAAATTTAAACTGATAATTATTTTTGAAAATCTTAAACATTGCTATGCAATCCATTACATCATGTGACCACTTCAGCACTACCTTTCACTGTAATATACTGCAACTTCAGCATATCTTTATTAGACTCTTTAATCGCGGTGAAGGGCGGGCGGGAGTGGGGCGGGGGGGGGGGAGAAGAGAGGAACAGCCATAGGAACAATAAATGTTGACTGATAACTATGAATACTTTTACAAATATTTTAAGCAAACGTGTTTGCAGCATTAAAAGTGCATATGCTTCCTGAACCGTCTTTTTTTTAAAGGTATGGATTGTCGTTTTATATGTATACACATGTATTACATCTAGCTATATCTATCCATATAAAGCCAAATACGGAAATTAAACACCTTATACAAAATATATAGAAATGTAAGACATGTATATATCCTCAATTGACTTAAAAATAAAATTAATCCTTTGAGAAGAATTATTCCTTGAATTACTTTTGGAAATTATCACAAAGTTATATATATATATATAGTATGTATTTTAAATGATCTATTTTATACACTGATATATTTACATAAACTTAAGGTGTAACGTCTGTGCCGCCTCTAATTTAATACATAGTATAGTAACTAGGGCCATATCGTACTAAGTTTTTAAGCAGAACTCCTCATTGAAGTCAATAGGGAATTCTGATTAAAAAAAAAAACTAGTAGCTTTTGATTAAATAGCCTGCTCCTTTAAAAATATATAATGTAGATTTAAAAAAAAATACAACTTGAATTAAGAAAATAGGAGCATGTGAAAAATGGGGGCCTACCTATCTAGCACTTTGAATTCACTATAGCTTTAATGCCTTTTGCATATTAATTCTATTTAATAAAAGAGACAAAAAACTATCAAGTATATATGAATTTAGCCTATTTTTTTATTTCTGTGTGTTCATAGTAAACATTTTTGTAAGTGACAAACACGGGCATATGACCACAGTATCACAATCAAGAAATTTTAAGACGACATTAACAATCACTCAAATTTATGCGGCATTTGCGCAACACAGGTTACATATTTGCAAGGTTTACCTATAAGTACAATAGGTATTAACATTTCACTACATTTAGAAAAAAAATAAAGGTGACCTGTTAGTGACCACATACATCAAAATATACACAACACAAACTGAAGGCAATCATTAATTTTGTCCCCTTCTGATTCATTTGAACGGGCAGTGCTGCAAGCTGAAACAATGTTGTTGTTTTAAATTACTTCGTACACTGAGTGCATTTTCTAAAACCCAATCTTTGGTCTAAAAGTAAACAAAAATCAAAAAATCAGCTCATTAAAGAAAAGGACAAAATAATCAATGGCCAAAATGTAGTTCTTGGGCATCTTTTACTATTACTTCTGCTTAAATACAAATTACATTTTAATTTTTTCATTGTTTTAATAAATTTAGTATTTTTTCAAGGTCTGCATCCACCAACATATCCATGATAACTTATAATACTGCAAACATGGAAAATCTGGAGGTTTAGGGATAGACTTTTGAATAAAAATTGCAAAGCAGTCACTATTTAGATACACATTCTACTATAATTTTGACTTCCAAACTTCATAGTCTACAATGTCATCTCCCCACATTGCACCTTGCTGACATTTCTCACCTTGTTGGAATAATAAACAACCCTAAAGACTGAACAAACGTACAGAAAATGGGGGACTTAATAAAAAATACCTGGACTTTTCTGTTTTTCTTTTAATTATCATTTACAATGCAAATGTGTGTAAAATGTTCACTTACAGTCTGGTCCCATGGATGTTAATGTATTAAAGGGTTTGAAGAAGACCCCTGATTCTGATGTGTGAAATAATCAGAAAGTCCCCCGGAAAGTCCTGTTGTAAAACTTGGCAAAGAAGGTCTTAAGGACTCACAAGGGAGAGTGGAGGGCGCCTGTGGAGACGTGGAGGAGGAGGCTGCCCTGGCCG